GGAACAATTACTGAGCAGCCTGTAAAACGAGTTGGGATCTTTCTGGGTGAGAGACACGATACAAACTTAAGTCGTTGTTTTATTTGCTCCAGTTCTCCTGTGAAATACCACCCACTATACCAAAAGTTCAGTTCCACCAGGACATTTTAAATCCACAGTGTAGAATGGATTTGAACTCCCACGGATTCATCATTCCTGACAGCTTTTGGAAGGCTGCCTAAAGGCAGACAGCAGAGCAAGGTGCAGGATTAATATATATTAAACAGGGGAAGTAGGAATTAAACAGGAAGTGCCCAGCACAGGTTCTCTGACCACCTGTGAATGCAAACTGTTAAAGTTGCTGAGAAAAAGAGGAATTTCCATGGCCTTTCACCTGGCCAAATAGGCAGGATTTTATAACATTGCAGGGGAAAAAAAAAACATAATTGAGCCCCAGAAATTCTGAAACAGCAAATCAAATGGGGGAAAAAAATCTGTTTCTGTCTGTATCAAACCTGCCTGATGGTGCAGTAATGGGTGGTGACAGAATATGCCACACATTTTTTCAGGCAAATTTATTGGAGCATGAAGAAAATTGTTGGCAGCTCCCCGGAGCATGGCACTTCCACAAATCTGCACTAGTCCCCTTTCCTTTCTTCAGGAAACTGATACAATTTCCTCCCATTTTTTTCACCCCAGGCATCTATATATGAATTCAGACCCCAAAACTGGTAATACAACATGGTAAGATTAATGTAATTTCCAGGATTCATCCCTTCTAGCCAGCTGACATCCTGGGCCAGATCCTGCTTCACTTACTCAAAGTGGCTCCAAATGCCTTAATGGGACAACTCCTGGGATCTGGACCGCTATTACAAAAACAGCCCATCTTATCATGTTTTGCTACTAACCATATTGTTTAACACCACACAGGCAAGCAAAAGAAGCTCTGGGTCCGACAAGCAGAAGAGCTATAAAACTAATGGAGCTGACTGAGCAGAACTGAACACTAAGAGCCATTCATCTATTTTATTAGGTCTTCTTCGCTGCCTTCCTATCTGTACTACCATTTTAAATCTCCTGTGACAAACCATTATCTCCAGCTTGTAGTTTAGCAAGCTAAACTACAAACACATGCTGCCTCTCCACCCTCCACCACTGAGACAAGTCCTGCACTCTTTGCTGTAGGCAAAGACTTTCCCTTCTATGGGTCTGGGATTTCTTCAATACAACCTGCACAATCTGTTCTTATACAGAGATGAAGGCTGTAGCTACACTGAAAACCCAGCCCGTTGAATTGGAGGGGCAGTAATTAGGTCTCTTGCCCAGGAACCAAGACCTAATACAGACAGATTAGCTGGAATTTGTCACAGCAAGCAGACACGCATTACTATTCTCAGGTCTCACGGCAATCCCTTCCCCAGGACAGAGCAGTTCTTCAGAGCCAGGACTCAGGGCTGAGACAGCAAACATTTTCCAATCCTGCCCAAGGCAGCAGGATTCGGGTACAGCCCTGGTCAGAGCTGAAACTCAAACAAAAGGAATAAAATTGAAACCTTGGCACCTCTTATCTGTGAGCCCAAGTGCGAGCTGGACACAAGCTGCTGGGCTACAGTAAAATCGATTCAATAAACAAAGAACCGGCCCTCCTCGCGTCCATTAGAGACAACCAGAAAGCAGTGCTGAGAATACACTGGATTTGGGCACTGAAAGCGTTACAGAAAATGAGCCGTAACGTTCCTCTGAGGCTTCAGTTTCCCTCCCCCAACCCTCCTTTGATTTTGATCCTCTCCTTTCTTAACGTCCTTTGAACTTTTTAAAAAGGCACTTTGAAGACGTGTCATAAAACAGGGGGTTTTTTATTCATGATTCTCTCTTTGATGATCTTGCTACTTTGTATGAACTGCAACCTCTGCAGGATGTGGAAGCCAGAAGAGTTGAAAGCTGATATGGACAAGAAAGGACAGAGAAGCAAGAGCTTAGCCGCGCTGTTTGTCAATAACTCGCCCGAGACGCGCACAACGCCCCTTATTCTTTACTTCCCCAAGCGGTCTAGTCTGGAGGTTGCAGACGGGATAGAAATTAGGCTTCATCCGGTCCTCAGAGGAAGTACCAAGACATTGAGTGGGAGCTGATGCAAAGCAGGACCAAGGAAAAAAGATGAGAAGTCAACCCAGAAGACCCTCTCATGCCAGGGACTATCCCCATCTCTCCCACGATGCTCCCAAGGGAGCATCCCCTCAAGCAGAGCTCATCAAGTCCTTCCGCTGTCTCTTATGGATTTTCTTCTTTCCGCATGCTCATTCCTGTTCAAGCAAGACTGGCTTGAATGAAGCAAAACGAGTGTGCCAACTGGAGCTAGGTGTTGCAATGAAGACTGACCACATGACTCACTTTGTATCTCAGACTGTCCATCTTTAAAAAAAGGAATAGTGGACCTTTCCTGCTGATGTTTTATGGTGGGAGGGAATTATTCTGGACCCCAGTTTTATAGGAGCAGCAACCTCTGCACAAAAGCTGGATGCCCAAATGGAAATAGGCAGCTACAGAATCATATTCACAAACTGACAAATGCAATTTCCATGTGCACCCACTCAGGTTTTCAATCTCACAGGCTCCAATTTTTTGTGCGTAGGCCTGCGGGGCGATCCCCTAAAGAGAGTCAGCCTCTTTATATACATGAAGCAAAATAACTCGATTTAATCATTTACCCAAGGATTACTTGCATTGCAGAGACTGGTCTTTAATGGATGTACAAAATGGTGCCAAGTAACTTGAGGACACTTTCAAGACATTGCCAAAAACTTCTGGTCCCTAACAACTATGAAAAACACTGGTGCCACTGGTGTTGGTAGATCTGTTGTGCTACTAATTAATGCTTTTCGTTTCATTTCTCCATATGAGCTTGAACCTCTTAACGTGTAAGCTGTCCTGTTGCCCACATGTATACTTTGACTAGGACTCTCATCGCACTGAAGTCACAACTCCTGGAATCTGGCGACTGCAGGCTAATATCAGCTTTTATTGTAAAGTTTCAAGGCCTCCCAGTAATGGAGAAAATCTTGACGTAGACAGTCTGACTGTGCCCAAAGTGTCATAAGACAAAAAGCAAGTAAACAGGACTCCAAAATCATCATCTAATGATCTTAAAGCCAAATCTCAAGATTTTTAGAAGACTGGCTTATGATCAGGGACCTACTCAATTTGCAATTTCATGATTTTTGCAGAAACCACGAAAAAAGGGTTTCCGCGATCGCCACGAAAACTGGTCTTCCCCATGATTTTGCGTGGGCTTGCCAAAAAAACAAAAAAGCTTACTAAAGATAAAATGTTCATTCTGGCAGTCGAGTGTGAACCCGCAACTGCTGCAGCCCAGCTTCACAGTCCACTGGTGGGGGGGGAGATTGGGGCGCCAGCACAGAGGGGAGCAGCCAAGATGGCAACTGCTCCCTCCACCACTGACGGGCTGCAGGGGCTGTCTGCCTTGCGTGGCCTCGCCCCTCCACCAAATCAGTGGCGAGGGGCAAGGCTGTCGGGGCCATCAGCAGCTGGCGGTGGAGGAGCTTGCAGCAAAAAGACCACAAACAGGGTACCAGGCACTACACACAGTCCATGATTTTTACTTCTCCTCTGCATGCTTTAAGTAGATCCCCACTTATAACATGAAAACCGAGGGCTGCACTAGTGCCATAGCTGCATCCTTTGCTTCACAGCAGGGAGCTGGAAGTGATTTGGGGTGACAAATGGGGATCCTCACTTGCAACATCTCGACACTCTGCCCCTTCCCCAAAGAAAAGAAACTGAGCCTCGAATTTATCTGTAACGCCCCACTAAGGAATTCGTACTTCCGGTACCTGTGAGCAAGGCCCAAGTCCCACTACCGACTCGAACACAGCAAGCCTGCAGCATGTCGGTGACACAGGAGCTTTCCAAGATGACAAGAGCTGCGCAGCAGGAACTTTGTTTGGTCCCCACTTGTGACGGGCCGTGCACGGTTATGGTGCCATGTAAATAATAAAACGATTGTAGCGGCTCGTGTTTTGTGGATATGGATACAGTAATTGCAGGGTAGCTCCACCAAGAACAGCTGTAGTGACTCAGCTCTCGAACTACCTGCCTTGTTTCCTGGCAACTAGGGCAGCAACTGCCAAACATACAGAAAAGGGGGTGGGACGGACGAGGGATGTGAATCCCGAATTTTCAGCTGGCAGGGATGAGAGTTAGTAACATCCTTTTCTAATGTGAACAGCTATCCATCATTCAAGGCAGGCAGTATCTGTGCAATCTGCCTAGAGTAAGCATGGTCCGCTATTGGCTCCGATGCTTAGAGGGACAATGCAAAGCCTAAATAGTTCTGCATTAATATATCCCAACATATTCTACCAGTGAAACTAGATACTTCCCATCTCATGCAGGGTATGTAACTTAGCATGACCAGAGGTACCAGCAGCCTGTACCTAATAAAATAAAGTACTCGGTAACAATCAATCAGTCTGGTTCACCTTCTTGCAGCCACAGTACCATGCTCTTTTTTCATATCTCCATCCACTTTCCCCAGCAATAGACCTCAAAGCCTTGGATCCCACAAAAACCAAGACCAATACCTCCATCAAGCAACTGGTTTGCTAAGCCAAAGCCTGCAACTTGGTAGCACTATCACCTCAAGTATAAAACAGCCTAAGACACGCACCAAAACTTGCATTTAGCAGTGTTTTTCAGCATAAGTCAAACTTGTACCATTTGGTAACAAGCTCCTGGACACATCCATTTATACAGCATAGGTCCTTACACTGAGGCCAATTCACACTCACGTAAAAGGAGACATTTATTTAAATAAAACAACATGGCAATTGTCACTGGAGTAAAAGAACTAAAGTTAGAAACATTCCCCTGATTACAGCACTTCCTGCCTCTCACAGAGATCTGGCTTAGCGCAGAGGAATGAAAACAAAAAACGGACTTGATAAATGGGAGGAATGCATAAAAGCAAAAGAGAGGAGTTGATTTGTGACTCTCACCACAGATATGAGGAAGGGAGGAGGTTGTTGTTTCAGGTGTCCTCTTGTGTTGCTGTTTTCTCAAGGACAGGAAAGGCCCAGTGATCTTCAAATGCTTTGGGATGTTAAAAGGTCCCCGCATCCCATCTCATCTCCATCCTACTGTATTCACTGAGAATGCTGCAAAACAGATCAAGTGGTCTATGGCACAGACAGATCTTCAGGTTTCACTGGTTGAATGAGTTGCCAGCCTGCCCCAAGTCTTCTCAGCTGAGATCCTTGGCCAGCAGGGAATGAGATGTAGCCTCTGTCTCAAAAAGAATTGCTAATTCTTTACTTTGCTGACATTTGGACATAATGGGTCAATACAATAGGAAACAACACTACAGGAACTCTGGAGACTTAGAGCCCCGGGTTCCTTCAGATTTGCTAGCTAACCCTGCAAATAAATTCTTACCAACCCCCTTTTTTAGGATGTCTGAAATTGGACCGGACAAAAAACTAAGAACACTAAAAACTACCGCCCTCATGGTCTCAATTCTCTGCATCTGCACGAAGCTACACAAAAAACTGAGACCAGTTCCTCTCCTAATTGCAGTATCTTATGATGCCGCCTTACAGAACTGGAGTCGGGGGAAAAAGAGAGATAGAAAAGGAAGAAGAGGGGGAGGACACGAGCAGTGAGGGTGACTGTCACTAGCTTAATCTGGTCTCACATTTCTTAGCACAGTCTTTTGGCCCTGTGCTTCCAGTGTTGCACCCACAGTTACAGACACAGTTTTGCCCGTACAGATAATTACCAGTGCACAGTTAGGACTTAAAGCAATTGCATCCTATGCTACATGTAAAGCAGCAACTATATACAGGGGGGAAATGGCATCAAGCTTCTGCAAGTTGAAACCTACTTGCTCCTCACTGATTAAAATTTTACTTCTGCCTTTAGAAGTAAATACAGCAATGTGATAAAGATTTACTCTGCCCTAGGTATGATGCAAAAGCAGTGCTCAAAGCATTTCAAGGGTCTGTTCATCTGATGTAATGAAACCTTGGGCTGGTACTAAATGCAGGGTCCTGAACGAACATCAGACTCCAGACTGAACATAGCAGCCCTGGATCAGCTCTGTGAAGCTTTTGTGTACTTGTGGTTTCAGGTGTCTTCTTTCAGCTATTTGGGACAGGAAGGAAGTGTCCCGTGTCACACTGCTTTGTCTTCTTGTAGCCTGGCATCAAAAGATCAGCAAACGAGTTCCTGTGACCAGTAGCAGTGGGTTTGGTTACCACCCCCCTCCCACTCCCGATTTCCACAATTGTGAATATTCCCTGCTGTCAAAGATGGAACAACACACACACACACACACACACACACACACACACACACCCTCCCTCCCTCCCATCAAAACAGTATTCAGCTTTGAAATCCAGCCAGGGAAAGGATAAGGAGACTATGCCTGATGGAAGGAAGGGCATGAAAAACACTGCACAGCACAAATTCTTTGGATCTTGTAGAATTTGTCAGTTCTGATCATTTTTTTCACATTAAGTCGCTTTCCTCTTGACTGAAACCCAATCCCTCATTGGTTGGGGATTTTTTTTTTTTTTGCACTTAGCTTATTTCCGAATCCAAGTCAGACATTTCCACAGCAGAGTTGTTTTTGTAGAACAGACCTACATGGCATGAAGCCGATGGTCAAAACCTCTCAACTTTATTTAACCTTTGTGCAGGGAATTTCATTAGGTTATTATTGCAAGAGAACCTCACAGCAATGGAGGAACAGATATCAGACATGAGATAAGCTGCAGATAAATCTTCTGGGTTTATTAATTGGGAATTTTATTTAAAAAAAAAAAAAAAAGGAAAGTCTGATCGATGGCAGGAATTTAGCAGCAACAACTCTGAAACCAGCTGGGGGGATTTTGTAAAACAGTAAAAATGTTTAGCTGTTGCCTTTTGCTTGCAAAGCTACAGGTCATCTTTTTTTTTTTTTTTTTTTGTGATGACCCTGAAAAGGGAAGACAGATAAGACCTGAAGCTTCAGCTTTGTCAGTGCACTTCAGACTCGGCACATGAGCTGGGTTAGCATTAAGAACAAATGCTTTTATGCCAAGGTGTGCGCAGTCCTACAGAGATTAAGGCAGTAGGGCTCCATAGAAAAAATCACTCCCCACAGCTGTAGCTCTACTAGAAAAAACAAGGTCTAGAGCTTATTTATTTAAATTGGCCTTTTTAAAAATGTGCTTCTCTGAACCACCTCAAAACCCAAACAGCTGTTATTTGCTGTTCAGTTCTGTCAAACTCAACCTCCTTGAACTGCAAGGTAAGGCAAGCCAGGCCTTGAGAGGCAAGCACCAGAGGTTATTCTATGCTTAATACTAAAGGGACACTTGCATTTATGTGTAGCTTTGCATCCAAGGTTTTTAAAATGCTTTGCACACAGCAATTATGCCACACAACCTCCCAGTACAGCCAGGCAGACTCTGGCCTTGTGTCCAGACAGGCCTGCACCATTTAAAGGTGCATTGTTTAAACAATGCGATTCAGCCCTATTTTGGCTTAAGGGAAGCTTATACTGTTTAAGCTTGATTGACTCTGTGGACTTTTTAAATGCAGATTAAAACTACACTGCTTTCCTGTATAGATTCAAACCAGGTCTACATCCTGTGGGGGCAACTGCTGCTTCAGCAATGGCGGCCAGACTCCTTGGCATAGACAAGGCTCTGCCTGTGAGATGTCCGCCACCCAAAGCATGCCAGCTCCCCCACACCACAGAGGTTATGCCAGCAATAGCCTCCTTCCATCAGCTTAGCTGCATTTAAAGGGCAGGGGGTGTCCGGTACAGCTGTATCAGCCATAGCAGGAGTGGCAAAGGATACTGCCTATGGGGCGCATCCAGTCCACAGAGCCCCGCTTCCTAGCCCCTGGTGCTACCTTTAGGTCTCATGCTGCTTGACTGACCCTGCATGCAGAGCCTGGAACATATGCCATTTTACACATGGCATCCACCCTAGCTGGTCCCAGATCTGTGCTACACACCATGCACAGCCCTCCCCGCCCCCATAAGGTGCAGTCCTGGACCAGGCAAGAGGAGGCACGGCATTCACTGGATCCACCATGTTGGGGGGGGGGGGG